GCATCTGATTCCAAACTCTGAATTGAGAACTCAGGACATAAAAAGCAAGAAAGGCAAGGAATTTTCAAAGTTGCAGCGGGATAGCAACGTGGTAACATCTGGTGACCAGAGATTGGCAGTGTGTCAGCTTGCAAGTGGGTGGCAACAGCCACACTACCCTCACTAGACAGCTTACACCCTGGGATGTAAGGTTAGCTCTATCACTCATGTCTCCAAAAGTTTCTGTGGATAGACAGTCAAAACCGACAGGGCTTCCCTCCTGAAATGCTAGCTGTGTGGATTTCCAAACAGAGCCCAGGACTGCATTACCCCCTGGAAATTCCTCAGAAGGCTCTGTCATTGGTTAGGCACAAAGTAAATGTTCCAGTGGCCTTGGAGGCGAGCAGAGAGAGACAGAGACCGAAGGGACGATTGCAACTTCATGTTTTGCAGTTTTGTGGTGCTCTCTTCTGCCTCTCCATCCTCCAAAGCCTCCCCAGCCTCTGCCACCAGATCTGTCACTTATCTCTTTAGGGTTACTTTTAGGCCATCATCCTAAAAAATATGTAATTCTCTCTCTCTCTCTCTCTCTTTCTCTCTCTCCCTTCCTTTCTTTCTTCTTTCTTTCATTTTCTTCTCCTTCTTCTCTTCCTCCCCCTCCTCCTTCTCTTCCATCTTCTTCTTGGCAGTCAGAGGATTGAAACCCATGCTTTTGCACTGAGCTTCATCCTCTTCTTCTTTTTTTTACTTTTGAAGTTCTCATTAAATCACTAAGATGCCCAGGCTGGATTCAAACTGGACATCTTCCTGCCTCAGCCTCCCAAAAATCTGGGATTATGACTGTGTGCTATCATGCCCAGCTACTATCCTACAGTTCTTAACAACTTTTTAACAAGAAGCCTTGTCTCTTTGTTTGCATTTTGCACTAAGCCTTGCATAGGAGGCAGAGTGTCTTGGTTGAGCGTCACTGATGGCAAGTCAATTTCCTTCATTCCCAGAAGATCTCAATCCAGAAGCCTCTGCTGCCTCTGTGTCTCTGGACTGCTGTGTAGCTGTCACCTTGTATCTTCCTTCTGCCACCAACTTGGGAGTGTCCCTCACCTTTCTCCTCGGACTCACTATTTCCTGGACACCTTTTGTTGCCAGCTTCATGTGGGTGGGGCCCCATCCTCCCAGCACTCATCAGTCCCTTCTGCAGAAAAAGTGCAGAGGAGGCAAAAGTTCTGAGAGTTTACATGCCTGAAATTAAGCTTATTCTGACAGAGAGGTTGGTATACTCTTAAAGTACCATGTTAACAATATATTTCACTCGGTATTTTAAAGGTATTGTTCTTTGCCTTTTAGCTTCCAATGTTATTAATTATTTAGAAATCCAAGAACATTCTAGTTCCCATCATTTTTTCTAAACAGCTTTATTAAAATATAGTTAACATACTTTAATGTAGCATAATTAGTTGGTTTATTCTTTACATACACATACACCCCCAAAAAAGAAAGCATTTCTAGATGCCTCTTATTATCGCCAGGCCAAAGCCCAGATGTTTTCTGGGGATGTTTTTCCAATATCAAAACCAACTCCACGCTCCCCGGGGCTCAAATTCCACGAAGCAATCACAGGTCCTTCCCTGCTTCTTTCCTTTGCACAGCAAATTATGTAATGAGCCCTGGCTGAGGGCTGGGTTTACAGTGATCAGAAAGACAGACAGGGCTCCTATCCTCGGGGATGCTGGGGTTATGGTTAAAGGGTAAGTGAAAATAGACCAAGCAGTGGCGTATTTCAGTACTCATCATGAACACAAGAGACTGTCGTGATGGTGAAGTATGAGGCTGACCCAGGAGAGCCTCTCTGGGACCTGCAAGGCCAGCCTGAGAAGAGCTGGGGCCAGGTGTGGGATATTCTGTAAAAGTACCCAAGATCCAATGCTCTTGTGCTGGCCGGTGGGGCTCACCTGTCTCCTCCCTAATCTCCCCTCCTGGTCCCTTCCATCCCTGCTGGGCTCCTTGCTACGGATGCACCAGAGCTGTCTCAGCCTCAGGGCTTTGTACCCTCTGTCCTTTGCCAAGGATGTTCTTCTTCCACGTCGCTTCATGGATTTTAGGTTTCAGGTGTCACCCTCTCGCTGAGGCCTTCCCTAACTACCATGCTTACGATTGAAAACCCACTCCCCAGCACCTCCAGTCCCCTCTCCAAGCTTGCTCTCTTTTTCCTTGGTATTGACTCTCATCTGACACTATGTTTATGTATTTGCCTTGTTTGCAGGGGTCTTTATTAAAATATAAATTCTGCAAGACAGGGATTTGCATGCAGTTTGTTCCTGACTATATGCTCAGCACGAAGACCCATGCATGGCACATGCCAGGTAGACAATGACTAGGTGCTGAGTGAATAGCTCTGCGTGGGATGGTTTGGTGAATCTGGCCAACAGCAAGAAGCCAGGCCATGGGACACGGTGGGCAAGATGGGCAGGACTGGAGGACTTGGAGGGGTGGCAGAGCACAGATTCATGGGCCTGGTGGCCTATGGAAAGGGGAGTATATTCTAAGAGTAATGGAAGATCTTTCAAGGATTTTAATCATGGAAATGACACGATCCAATGTGTAACTGTAAAGGACCCCAGTGGCTGCCATGTGGGGTCTGGATTAGAGGTCAAGAGCAGAAATGAGTAGAAAGGAATAGGCCAGTTAGGTGGCTATAGGAGGAGCCTAGTCAAGAGAGGATGGTGACTGAGACCCAGGGTAGGACAAGAGCAAAAATAGAGAAAACAATCAGCCATTGCATTGGGATTTTTGCAATAAGCTGGGTGTGGGTTCGTGGGCTTCATTTAATGAGTTCGTCCTTTAAATATCAAGTCTTGTTTCCAGTTGATGCTCTAAGATAGACTCTATGAGGGGCTGGAGGAGGAGAAACTACATCCTGCCAGCCCACAGAAGTTATCGCTAACTCGGAGGAGTCTTGCCGTAGCATTTAAAGCCTTGGGAAAGCCTCTGTCCCTCCCAGTGCTTGGCTCACAGCTGATAAGCCTCAGTGTTCCCCAAGTTTGTCTCTTCCTCTCCATCCCCAAGGCTAACTCCAGACCCTCAGCAGACCTCCTCCCTGGGCTCTCTACCCCCAAATCCAGGTGATTGTCTGGATGAACCTCCTAAAACACCAATCTGATGCCCTGTCCTCTGCTGGAAGCTTTCCTTGACTGCTCCTCACCTCCACGACGATGTCCAAGCCCTCCAGGGAGAGTCAAGACTCTTTTCAGGCTGTACTTCTGGCCTCCTCCTGCTCACTCAGCCTCCGCTGGGACTCTGCGTTCCTCCTGCCACTCCCCACTTCATGGTAGCCATGGCTTCTGCTCTTCCCTTTGCCTAGAAACCCCTCCCCCAGCCTCCTCATGAGGTGATCTCTGCTCTTGTCTCCCAACCACTCAGGTTCTTGGCCTCCAAGAGCCTGGGAATGTCCTCCCTCCATTCTCCCTGTTCACCTTGGGTGTCTGAACACCTCCGCTTACTGCTTCAAATTGCAGCTCTTGTGTGCCTTGCTCATCTCCTCCAACAAGACCAGGAATCTCGAGGCTGATTCTTGCCCACTCTCCTTTGGGTCCTCACCAGGTCTACACCTTCTGGCACATAGCAGGTGCTCCCTGGCAGTCTCTTAAACTCAGTGGTCCCAGTCACCAGCGTACCCTGAGGACAGTCCAATTTCTAACATCCTCACTGCAAGAGAAGAGCCTGCTTGTCAGGCATGAACACTTTCTGCATCAGCCAGAGCTGCCTCCTGTGCAAAGGCCTCTGGGAGTTCTCTCCAGTCAGGGCTGAGCCCCGACCAGCCAGGGAAAGGATTCTAAAGTTATCTCCAAATAAGGTGGAAGGATTAGCTGCTGTTAAAACAGCATGGGAGCAATTAGTAAAGGAATAGTCTCTCTGAGATGAGCCCTCCTGAAATAGACAACAAGATGCTTCCAAATGTGAGCTGCTGCCTGGACAGACGCCTACAGCTCCCTCAGGCTGACGCTTTCCTCTAGCCAGGGATCTAGGGATACCAAGACCCCTGAGCTCCGGTGTGCAACATTATATCAGGGTGCAGTTCATCCGAGCTCTCAAGGAGGAGGGCTTCTGTCACCCGTTAGCAGGCATGGTCTAATAGGATCCCCACAAGCAAAGTATGCAATTCAGGCTTTCTCAATAGTCATAGAGCAATACAGAGAATGAACAGTCTGTAATCTTCATAAGCCAGGTATTATTACAAAAGTATTTATTCCACTTTTTATTTTATTTATTATTTTGTTGTTGTTGTTGGTACCTGGGATTGAACTCATGACCTCATGCTTGCCAGGCAGGCGCTTATGCCTATGAGCTAAATCCCCGGCCCTATATTCCACTTTTTGTTAAGAATAACTATCCTACTGGGCATGGTGGCACACCCTATAATCCCTGCACTCTGAGAGGCTGAGGCAGAAGGATTGCCAATTGATCCTACCCTGAGCAATTTAAGATTTAGGGAGACCATGTTTCAAAATAAAATTTTTTTAAAAACAGCAGAGCGTGAAAATGAAAGATCCAATCAGAAGACAGGCAACTGAAATGAACAGATACTCCTCAGAAGATGAGGTACATACTGGTCATGCTGGCACATGCCTATAATTCCAGCTCTTGGGGGCAGAGGCAAAAGGATTGCTGCAAGTTTGAGGCCAGCTTGTATTACATAATGAGTTCAAGGATACCAACCAATAGGAAGACCCCGTCTCAAACAACAACAACAACAAAAAACTAAGAAGGGCCAATGGCTCATACATACATGAAAAAAATGTTAAGCATAGCTGGTCATTATGAAAATGGCTGTCAAGAAACCAAATTAGAAACAAATACTGGCAAGATTATGATACAAAAGGAACCACTAGGGAAATCAGTACAGAGAGTCCTCAAAAAGAGAGAGAGAAAAAAAAGAAAGAGAGAGAATGAAAGAAACTCATTGGACCCAGCTATTCTCCTAGTGGGTATCTTCCAAAAGAGTTTGAAGCATCACATTACACTGATACATGCATACTCATGTTTATAGCAGCACAATAGCACAATTCATAACAGTTAAATCTTGGAAGTGGCTGGCCTATGTTCATCAGTAGATTAATGAACAATTAAAATGCAATATTTATGCACAATGGAATACTACTGTGTTATAAAGAATGATAAATTTGTGTGATTTGTAGAAAAATAGATGCGCCTTGAAACCCTAACGTTAAGTAAAATAAATCAGACACACAAGCTTAAAACACTGTATGGTTCCTCTTATGTGAGAAACCTGGAGTATAAATAAGTTAAAGAACAAAATGAAAGACAGATGAAAGAATAAACAGCACGGGGTAGATCAGCGTGAAGGCTCTGGATTCAATCTGCCGTGTCGGAGGAGGGGCGAAGAATGAAGCTCAGGGATAGAGTACTTGCCTAGCACGTGTGAGATCCTGGGTTTAATCCCCAGTATCACAGTGGGGAAAAAATACCTGTACAGATTGTGCTAATTTTCTCTATTGCCATAAAATGGATTATCCTCAAACATAACAACTGAAAACATTTATTTATCTCACAGTTTTTGTGAGTCAGGAAACTGGTAGTGGGACATCTGAGTAGTTCTGGCTCAGGGTGCCTTAGGAGATTACAGTCAAATTGTTGGCCCGGGCTGTGGTCATCTGAAGCCTTCACTGGAGCTGAAATATCTGCTTCAGTGATAGTGCACTCACTCACGTGGCTGCTAGCAGGAGGCCTTGGTCTCCTTACGTGTCAGCTCCACTGAGCCGTGTGAGCATGCTCAAAACCTAGCAGCTGCCTTCCCTGAGCGGGCCGTCCAAGAGAGAGACCAATTTGGAAGCCTTAAGGTCTCTAGGACCTCGTCTTAGGAGTGCCACACTGTTCCTCCTGCTTTATTTTCTGTTAGAAATGAGTAATTGTCAGGTGTGGTCGTGCTTGCCTGTAATCCCAGCACTCGAGAGGCTGAGGCAGGAAGACTGCTGTGGAGCCTTAAATATGCAGAAAGACCCTGCTGTCTCAACCCCATTCCCCCCAAAAAGAAATAACTCACCAAGTTCACCAAGAACAGAGAAGTAAGGTCCATGTTTTAAGGCTATGTCAAAAATTGTACCTAGGGGCTGGGGATTTAGCTTAGCGGCATAAGCACCTGCCGTGCAAGCAGGCAGTCGTGAGTTCAATCCCCCATACCGATTAAAAAAAAAAATGTACCTGATCAGGTCAGGGGGAAATAAAAAATTTGAAAATTTTGAGGCTACTGAGATTCTAGGGGTACTGAGGCAACAGAGATTTGGCATGAGAAAGTGTTTCAGACTGAGAATGCTGGTGACTCTTTCATTCACGCCTTCATCCATCTACTTATTCCACAGCTATTCGTTGAGCATCTACCACATGCAGCTGGGAAACCATACTATATGCCATGGGGCTTGTGAAATAACAAAACTATAATGAAAATAATTACTGACCTTTACAGCGGTCTTTGTGTCCAGGAGAGCAAAGCTTCACGTCTAATTATCTCCTCTAATCTTCCCAAAAACGCCTTTGTAAGAGGTAGCACTATTCTCCATTTGACAAAGGGAAAAACTTAGAGAGGGGAGGTCCTGTGCCTTCAAAGGATAGAGTCAATGGTGGAGCTCATCAATCCCTTTGGACTGCTACAAGGAAACACCACAAACTGGCAGGCTGTGACTGACAAACTCATTCCTCACACTTCTACAAACTAGGAAGTTTGAGAAAACATCCGCAGGTTCCAGTGTCTGCTAAGGTCCACTTTCAGCATGGCCTTTTCACTGTATCTCCCCATGGGAAAGGGGGCTGGGGTGCCTCTTTTGTAAAGGACACTAATCCTTTCCATGAGGGCTCTACTCTCAAGAACCATAACCTCTCAATCTTAAAGCCACCACTCTACAAGTTAGGATTTCAACACATGAATTTTGAGGAGACACAAATATTCAGACCAGAGTAAACCCAAAGGACTCTGATCTCAAAGTCTGCGTGTGTTTACACCATCACACTCCAGTAATTGTGGGACAACTGTTACTAATATGTCGCCATGGCGCCATCCTGTAGTCTAACCAGCCACCGAGGCTCAGAGAGGTTGACTTGACTCCTCCCAGGTTGTTTCTGGCAGAGTCAGGCTGCAAAGCCAGTTCCTGAGTGGTCCAAGTCTACGCTCCTTCTTTTACACTTGCTCAAAACAAGAGTCTTTTCTGTCCTGTTGCTGGAGAAATAGAGCTAAGATGGAAAAGGCCCCAGGGTAGCAGAGAGAGGGGGAAATTACTGCGGAGGTCTGGAAGCTTTTATAAGTGGGGATCTCGCCTGGTCGGCTGAAGACTCCGTCAGCACCTCTCCGGAGGCTGCTGTGAAGATGCTATGGAATGACTGCTGTGCCTGATGAGGTGTTGTGACTTTGGAGTTGTCAGCCAGCTGGCTCTCGGAGACAGTGCAGGCTTTGCTGCTGCTACAAGGCTCCTTGCACGGATCGAGTCCTCGCTGAGCCTCAGGCACGCTGGGAAGGTGATGTGCACAATTGCTCTGCAATCTTAGGACCATAAACCACACACTTGTTTATTCTTCCCATTTTACAGAGTAGGGAACTGAGGCAGAAGGGAGTAACTTACCTGAATCCATACAGACGTCCTATCTCTGAGAATTCCAGAACACCTGGAGTTCTTGGAGTTGGTAAGCAGGAGCCTGGAGTGAAGTCCTTGACTTCAAAGCCTTAGGAAACCTTGCCTCTGTGGGTGCTTTTCCTCCATTAAAAAAATAAAAAATTAAACATTGTATTTGACTCTGTTGGAATGCAGTTGAAAGTAATCCAAACAGAATTTACTGTTCTACATTAATTATCATTGAAAGGACAGAGGAGTAAAAAAGGGTCTAGAGTCAATGTGTATACATACCAATATTCCACAGTGAATGTATTCATTATGTATTGCAAACATACATTGAAAATGTTTAAAACACAATAAAATAAAACAATTTATGAGTTTCTAAAAGACTTTCAGGCACCATGCACACCGCGCCTAGTGGAAAAGATGGTCCGTTGGATTAAGTCCTAATTGCACTAATTGCTGATTGTGTAACTCTGGCCAAGTTACTTCATCTCTCTGTGCCTCACTTCCCTTCCCTGCAATGCAAGAATAAATAGTAGACGTACTGCGTTACCGTCATCACTATCCCCAAGTGAAACTCTGTGCTTCAGTAATGCTGCTGTTTGCAAATTATTCGGTTCACAATATTTCACCATCCCCAAGTGAAACTGTGCCTACTAAGCAACAATCCCCCCATTCTGCCCTTGTCTCAGCCACAGTAACCACTTTTCTTTCTCTTTCTCTATGATGCTAACTCCCCTAGGCACATCATATAAGTTTTCCAGAATAATCTGGCTACTAAAGTTCTTGGCTATTCCCCCCATGAATCCTTGAGTGGAAGCTAGGACAATATGCTCCCCCTGCAGTCGTGGCATAGAGACAAATAGCCAAAAGGTTAACAATAAGAGGCATGGTCTCCCCATCACTTGCCCATCACTGCTGCCCTCATACTCATGTATGGAATTCTGCACTGGGAAATTTCACTCTGATAAAACAAAAAAGCAACAAACCAGACTGTTTTTGGTAGGATGACAGATAGGCAACCTGAAGAGGACCTTAGAGATCATCTAATCCAAGGGCTACATCCCAGTCTGTGGAGTCACAGGGCTTAGAGAAGACAGAAACGTGACTTTTGGAGCAGAACTATCTAGGCTGAAATCTTAACTCTGTGCTTACTAGTTGTTTGATTTTTGGCAAACTACTCAACTCTTCTGGTTGTCAATGGCTGCGTAGAAATTGTGAATCATAATAATGCTTACCTCATATGTTATTAAGAGGATTTAAATGAAGTAGTAAAAGTTTGTAAGAAACTTAGAACAGAGCTGGACACCCAGCATACACAAAACAGTAATGTCTCACTTTAGTAATGTTTCTGTTTGCACATTATTCGGTTCACAAACAAAAGTGTTTGGCAAAATTTTGTTTCCATTTGCAAACTCTGCATCGGGTGACAAACATGACCAAGGCCATCCTCCCCACACAAACCAAATGCACCCTTCTTTCCCAAAGTGTGAGACTAATTAAGTTCATAAACTGAGATACCACTGTATAAGTGTTTGTTGGAGAATGATTCAGCGGTCTCTAAGGGAAAGACCAGGTCTCTGTCCTCGCTATGAACAGGAAAGCTCTGCTTCATCTGTTTTATATGTTAGCCTGCCTTGTAAAATATTATTAAAAAGAAGGCTAATGGGTGACCACTCCTGTTATAATGTCATATTTTACAAATGGGAAACATTACCAAAACAGTTTCCTGCTGTGCCCAAGATCCCACAGCTAACGAGTGGTGGGCAGAGCAGGTGTCTGAGCTGTGTCACCTACATAGCACTCTCCACTGGATCTGCAAACAGCTTGGCTTCACGCTGGGTTGTAGAAAAGAGGGCTCTGTTCCCTCCTGCGAAGGTCGCTGAAGATGCCCCATTGAGGAGTTTGTGCTTTCTTGTCCCATGACTGCTGGAGATGTTGAACACACTGGATGGTATTTCTGGGTGCTAGAACATTCCCAAGGGTGGACCAGGCTCCCTAAAGTCATCTACCCTGCACAGAATATAGGCTATGAGGCTTGGGGAATGGATCCCATCCCTAGGGTCCTGATTAGCATAATCAGGAACAGTTATCCCACTTCTGTGTCAATTCCAGTTTAACCATGGTTGATCTAGGCCTCTGAGTGTCAATGAAACATCAGAAGAGTTTGTCAGGTTCAGTCCCGCGGAACCAGGAACACATTGCTCTGGTGTCTAAGAAATGTCTGCTTGTAGCCCAAAACTCGGCAATATGTGAAGATACAGAAAATCCAGAAAAATGAAAACTTCAGAGTTCTGATGGCCTAGCCTACAACCTTGTGTGCCCAGTGTGGTGGCCACTACCTATATCAGCTACTAAACCCTCAGAATATGGTAGGGCAAATTGAGTGTCCTGTAAGTACAAAAACAGTCACCAGATTCTGAAGATTTAGGGTGGAGAAAAAGGTGTGTTTCAGGGGCTGGGGATTTAGCTCAGCGGCATAAGCACCTGCATTGCAAGCAGGCAGTCGTGAGTTCGATCCCTGGTACCGATAAAAAGGAAAAAGACAAAAGAAATTAAAAAAAAAAAAGGTGTGTTTCAGTCAATGGTGGATATATGATATATATAAGGTGTGATTGAAATATATGGTGAATGTTTAAATTTTTACAATGTATTACAGTAAAAGCACATTGCCATGAATTCCCCTCAAAATGTCCCCCCTGTTTCAACACATTACCCTGTCATTCTTGCCACTTTCTGGAAGCCCTCCTTCATGTCTTTACTAGGTATGATCAAAAATACAGTGATCGCTGCTGTTGAGTGCCATCTCATGTAAAAGCTGGAGAGTAAAAACCTCGAGGTAGGTCCTCAGCCCCATTATTCACCGCATTTGGCATTGTGCCACTTTGGCTCCTCCCCAAAGTCAAAAGGACAATGAAATGTAAACATTTTGAATCAATTCAGGACACCATAATAGTGCAATAAAGACACATAAAAGAGAACTTCCAAAAGCAGCAACAGTGATAGGGTAGTATTTGAAATAGGAGGGGACTAATTTTGGGGAGGGTCAATAGAAACTTTTTTTTTATAATAAAAATTTTATTTTAAACATCCACTGCATATTTGGATCACACCTGGTATAACCTATGTATGACAGTCATCCTGTAAGATTATAAAGGAATAGCTGTAATCCCAGCATTCAGGGATCGTCATGAGTTCAAGGACAGCCTGCACAATGCAACGAGACACTGTCTCAAAAAGCCAGATGATAAGGGAATTGGAAATTCCTACGCCCTGGTAACATGATCGCATAGCACACTACTCCTGTGTTGGCGGTGATGCTGCACCGCGCTGGCGGTCATATAAAAGCAAAGCTCTTGGCACTGTGTATGGTGGTAAGCCTCGTCTGCCTCACTCAAGGACGGAGGGGCTGCTGGGCAGGAGTGGAGTGTCCTCAGGAACCAGCCGAAGCAGATGATGCCACTTGAGGGGTGAAATCGGGAAACAATACTCCTGAGTCTTAGTTTTTCTGGTCATAAAAAGGCCTGTTACCAGCGGTGAAACTGGACGCTGGAAGTCAGCTTCCTCAGACACAGTCAGGTTCTGCTTCCCAATTCAGGCAGTTGTGTTTCCTCAGTCACAAGGCAGTGTCTGGAGTCTGCAGCCCGCGCTTTGCCTCATTGTTCATCAGTATGAGGATTGGTGGCAAGCTGCCCTTTCTCTGACTTCACGTTTCCGTGGGGCAGGCGTCCATCACAGGAGCATCTTAGCTGCCCTTGGTCCTCTGTCCCGTTTCCTTCGGGTGGAGAAGCACTATCTGACAGGTTGGGTGTGGTTTGTCCTTGTCAAAACTCTCATTGAAAAAAAACTATTTTGGTGGTACAGTGGATTAAATTCATGGTCTGTGCACTGAACTATATACCCATCCCTTCCTTCCTTCTTTCTTTCTTATTTTTTTTTTTTATGAGGCACGGTCTCACAAAGTTATCAAATTGACCAGGCTGGGCTCAAATTTGTGATCCTCCTGGTTTAGCTTCTCATAGTGCTGGGATTACAGCATGTGCTGTCACATTCCTCTTCTGTTGTAATGGTTGATGCTTTGTGTCAACTTGAGAAACTTAGAAATTTAACTAACTCTGCAGTTCTGCATCCTGAGGTGTAGAGGACATCCTCTAGGGTGGCTGTTTACAGTCCAAGATGCTGTAATGATTAATTTGTTGTGTCAATTTCAGAAGTTTAGAACAAGTTTAACTAGGTGACCCAGCAGGGGGCCAGGGACCTCACTTTGTAAACATCATGACCCTATGCAAGAGGAGGGCGGGGATGTGATGTGAGCACTACACCCATCCAGGGAAGGTAGCCTGCTTACACTCTCAGGGAGGAAAAGCGGCTTGTGTCCTCCACTCTTTCATTGTTCTTGTTGTCCTCTGCCATGATGAACAGTTGTCCCTCTGCCATATGCGATATGCCAGTTGATTATGGACTAAACCTCCACAAACTGTATGCTAAATAAACCTTTCCTCCTTAATTTTGGGTGTTGGGCATTTTATCTCAGCAATGAGAAATGTAACAAAGACGTCTGTTGAAATGTAACTACCAGTGTAGAGGTATTGAGACGTGGAGGGGTCTTTAAGAGAGGTCTGTTGGTAGGGACTCTACCTTCATGAAGTGATTCACATAGTTCATGTGAGAGTGCATTAGTTGCTATGAGGACAGGCTGTGATAAAGCACCTTCCCACTTTGTTCCCTCTTCCCTTCTCCATGGCCCTTCCTGCCCTTCCACTTTCTGCCGTAAGTTGAATCTCCATGAGATCCTTTACCAGATGCTTAGCAGAAGCTTGCACTGTGCTCTTAGACTTCTAGCATCATGAGCCTAAATAAACCTTCTTCCTTTATGAGTTACTCATCTTGGATATTCTCTTATAGCTATAGAGCATGGACTGAGACAGTGCCTTCTTGCCTTCTTTTAGGCTATCTTCATCTCTTCCATTCCTTCAGTTGGATGACACAGTTTCAACTCCTGACTTACAGGTCTGTTATGGTTTAAGAACTTGTGGTCAACTTAACACCAGCTGGATTACATCAGCATGGCATTGAGCGAAGATGCTCCACTGGAGGAAAGTTGCCTGGATAAATAGGTGGAGAAGAAGGGAGATGTG